AGAGTACATTGGGTTTACTGTTTTAATCTCTATTTTGTATATATTTGAAATTTTCCGTAATAAAATGGAAAATTTTATTATGGAAAATTCTTTTAAAATTCTTCTATTTAAAAAAAATATATAAAAATTGGAGAAAAAAATAGGGGACATCTACCCCCATGGCCCTCAAAAGGAAATAAGAGGCAGAAGTGGACATTAGGAGCAAAAGGTAATAAACATAAAGGATAAGTTCAGGATTTCTGAAATAAAGAGAAGAGACAAAATGGAAGGGAGAAAATGATCAAAGAACTATTAGGAGAGGCCGGATGTGGTGGCTCATGCCTGTGATCCCAGCACTTTGAGAGGCCAAGGCAGGAGGATCCCAGGACCCGCCTGGGAAACAGAGAGAGACCCCATCTGTACCAAAAAATAAAAAATTAGCCAGGCATGTTGGCATGCCCCTGTGGTTCCAGCTACTCAGGAGGCTGAAGTGGAGGATTGCTTGAGCCTAGGAGGTACAAAGCCTTGGAAAAAAGAGAAGTGAGTTTACTTGTAAATACATAAAAGATGTAAGATTGACTAAATGGATGGATAGAGAGGATGGATAGATTGACAGACATTTGATAAAGCAAATCTAGTAAAATGTTAATGATATATAGGAAATATTATTTGGCCATAGAAAGGAATGAAGTAGTGGCTGGGCGCAGTGGCTCATGCCTGTAATCCTAGTACTTTGAGATGGGCAGATCATGAAGTCAGGAGTTCAAGACCAGCCTGGCCAACATGGTGAAACCCCATCTCTACTAAAAATACAAAAAAATAGCCAGGCATGATGGCATGAGCCTGTAATCCTAGCTATTTGCAAGACTGAGAAAGAAGAATCGCTTGAACCTTGGTGGTAGGTGGAGGTTGCAGTAAGCCAAGATTATACCATTGCACTTCAGCCTGGGCGACAGAGCAAGACTCCAGCTTGGGGTGGGGTTGGGGGAAGAAAGGAATGAAGTACTGATACATGCTACAACATGGGTGAGCCTTGAAAACATGCTAAATGGAAGAAGCTAGTCACAAATGACCATGTATTGGATGATTCCATTTATATGAGGTGTCTAACATAGACAATTCCATAGAGACGGAAAATAGATGAATAGTTGCTTAAGGGTGGAAGAGCAGAGGAATGAAAGTGACTGATAAAGGATATGGGATTTCTTTTGGGGGTGAAGAAAATGTTTTGAAATTGATTGTGGTAATGTTTTCCCAGCTCTGTAAATATACTAAAATCCAGTATGCTTTTTTTTCTTTTTGAGATGGAGTCTTGTCTCTTGCCCAGGCTGGAGTGCAGTGGCACAATCTTGGCTCACTGCAGCCTCCACCTTCTGGGTTCAAGTGATTCTCCTGCCTCGCCTCCTGAATAGCGGGACTACAGGTGTACACTACCACGCCCAGCTATTTTTTGCATGTGTTTTTAGTAGAGACAGGGTTTTGCCATGTTGGCCAGCCTGGTCTCAAACTCCTGACCTCAGGTGATCCACCCGCCTTGGCCTCCCAAAGTGCTGGGATCACAGATGTGAACCACCATGCCCAGCTAGGACACTTTAAATGAATGGATTTCATGGTATTTAAATTATATCTCAAAAAATCTGATAAAAACGTCAATGATAAACTCTAGGTAATGGATATTTCAAAGGTGCTCGTGTGAAATTCTTTCAACTTTGCTGTATGCTTGAAAGTTTTTATAATAGAATGCAGAAGGGAAAAGGAGAGTGAGGGAAGGGGGATGTGATGTCCAGCTAAGTGCTGGTTTATCAGGCACAAGGGACTTTTCTGCGAAAGGCACAAGGAGGAAGCACAGGAGAGAGAGGAGGAGGGAGATGCAGCTGCCCAGTCCCTCCCATCTCTCATTTCCATTGGTCAAGGATTATCCAAAGAACTATATTGCCGACATGTCATCCAGCTGATTAGCAGCTGCCCAGGAAATAAGGCTCCCTATCCCACTGGATGGTGTTTCATCCAATTCTGAAAATGGAGGGCAGCCCAGCCTAGATGTGCTGCCAACAGAGAGCTGTCCAAGAGGGAGAGAAAAGGAGGTGGTAGAGGGAATGTAGGAAGGTGCGTGAGGTTTGTGGTCCAGTATACCAACATGATGAAATTTCTCAATGACGTACTTTGGTGTGGGGCTGTTTTCATCCATGGTGCTGGCTATCATGGCTATCAGCTGGCCCCTCAATCTAGCAATCAATGGCTGTCTGTACTGGGAAATTTTCTCATACTATTTGCACGTGTGTATGTGTGTGTGTGTATGTGTGTGTGTGTGTGACAGAGAGTTTCAATGTGTCACCCAGGCTGGATGTGCAGTGGCTTGATCATGGCTCACACTCACACACATATGCATACTCACCACATTCATACACACTCATACACCCACACACATACACACATACCGTCTCACATACACATACACACTCATACATTCACACACACAAACACACTCACACACTTACATACACATACACTCACATACATAATCACATACACTCACATGCACACACTGACCCCTTGGGCCTCCTTGCATGTGCTCCACACTCTATTGAATCAACCTTCTGACCTGTCTGTCTCTGCCAGTCTCAAATCCTCAAGGGCAAGGGCCAGGCCTTATAGGTCTGGGTATCCTGGAAATTCATTGCAGGGCATGACTCAACAAATGCTTCCTGTGTAATGAATGGAAAAGGTATAGTCACCATCTATGCGGATATTTATTTAACAACATGGCAGGCACCAGGTGAGGCCCTGTGCTGAGTGCCTGGATTTGGGGACAAAGATGAATAAGACTGTATCCTGGGCCTCAGACGCGCCTACAGGACCTTTTTGTCTGGACAAATGCAAAACTGGACAAGACGTCAGGGCAACAGATGTAAACTGGGACTGTCCCAAGCAAACCGGAACATATGGTCACCCAAATTATATACCAGCTTCTCTGAAAACAGCAGTCCCATGCTGACTCATGCACAGCCCGTTAGACCCTAGTCACTTCCAGAACTTTCTTGTATAAGCCAATCATTCTTCGTTAGTGCTTGGATCATTTATGTTTTTTTGTTGTTGTGATCCATGTAGAAATTATCAATGAAATTTCATATTTCTAGAGCACTATATTAAAAAATACTTAGGCAACCAGAAATAAAACACCTAATGCACAGCTCAACACTTTCTAATGTTTTCTTCCTAGAGACAGGGTCTCATTAAGTTACCCAGGCTGGAGTGCAGCAGCTAGGCTATCGCACTACAGCCTCAAAGTCCTTGACTGAAGGGATCCTCCCACTTCAGCCTTCTGAGTAGCTGGGACTGCAGGTACATACCACTGCACGCAACTTCTCCAACCTTTCCTGAAGTACTGAAATGCATAGTTGTAATCAGTGGGTGACAGTCATTCCTTGGTATTAACAATAGACTGGTTTATTGTCTTATTGATGGGCCTTTGGGTATTTCCAGTTTGTGACCATTCTGAATCAATGAAATTATGAATATCTCAATATAGATTCCTTTTTCTTTCTTCTGAGTCTTCTTTGAGGTACCTAATCCAAAGTTAAATAATCTAGTTGAAAAATAGGAACAGTCTGTGACCTTTTGTTTTCCATTGCTCTCTGTCATATTGCTCTCCAAAAAGTCGGAGTCAGGCAGGCACGGTGGCTCACACCTATAATCGCAGCACTTTGGGAGGCCGAGGCAGGAGGATCACTTGAGGTCAGGAGTTTGAAACCAGCCTGGCCAACATAGTGAAACCCCATCTCCACCAAAAATACAAAAATTAGCCAGGCATGGTGACTGGTGCCTGTAACCCCAGCTACTTGGGAGGCTGAGGCAGGAGAACAGCTTGAACCTGGGAGGTAGAGGTTGCAGTGAGCCGAAATCGGGACACTGTACTCCAGCCTGACAGAGTGAGACTCGGTCTCAAAACAAATAATTCTAAAGTAAATGTATACCTTACAATTGCAAGGTGTGTTGTAGATTTCATTAAATAATGTGTTGAGTAAATAAATGTATTAAAATCACATGCAGCCATAAAAAGACAGATATTGCATGATTCCACTTGTATGAGGTACCTAGAGTAGTCAAATTCCTAGAGACACAAAGTAAAATGTCGGTTGCCTGGGTTTGAGGGGAAGAGAAATGGGAGTTGTTCAATGAGAATAAGTCATCAGTTTTACAGAGATTGGTTGCACAACAGTGAGAATGAACTCACACTGCACAATGATTTAGATCGTGAATTTTATGTGTATTTCATCACACATGCAAGTATATATAAACACATGTATTATATATAAATATGCATGGGTATATATAAAGTGAATATGTATATACTTAATCTAATGAGCATTTGGCATATATTGTCAGTAGAAGTGTGCCTATCATACATAGTCATGCATGTAAAACGAAATTTCATGTGTGTGTGGAATTTCCTCAATTAAAATGGCAGTGTTAACTATTCAGTCAGAGACAGGCAGATCTGTGTGAGGTTAATGTTATTCCACAGCACCTAGAGTAAGGAACATCATGGATTAGATAATATATGAACATTCAATATTAGTAATAAAGTGCTCAACCTTTAAAAACCATATGCATCTCATTTTCTATTTTTTGTGAATTTTTTTAAAAAGGCAGAGCTTAGGGGATCTTACAGACATCCACTTGAACCCTTCATCTTAAAGATGAGGTGATGAGCCTAAGAGAGGTAACCGATTTTCCCACATCAAGAGCAGCTAGGTCTTCCCTTTTCGTGACGCCCTTAGCCACCTACTCTATCTCATTGACCAAAGTGGGTAACATGGCCTCCCCTGGCTGCACTCAAAGCTGCCGCGAAAGCAGCAAAAAGAACAGGTTAGACACTTTGCCGCCCCAAACAAAGTAGGGTTCCCTGAACAAGGGAAGAAAAGCAGAGTGTGTAGTAGGTAAGCAATCGGCAGTGTCTGCTACACTCACCTTAGTGTCTTTGTTCTGTGTTGTGTTGTGTTTTGTTTGGGATGTTGCAGGCTGGAACCAACGGTTACATGGCCCCTGAGATCCTCATGGAGAAGGTAAGTTACTCCTATCCTGTGGACTGGTTTGCCATGGGATGCAGCATTTATGAAATGGTTGCTGGACGAACACCATTCAAAGATTACAAGGAAAAGGTCAGTAAAGAGGATCTAAAGCAAAGAACTCTGCAAGACGAGGTCAAATTCCAGCATGACAACTTCACAGAGGAGGCAAAAGATATTTGCAGACTCTTCTTGGCTAAGAAACCAGAGCAACGTTTAGGATGCAGGTAAATTAGCTTGCAACAAAGAGGATTGCTGACACCAGTATTGTTCGAAGGGATTGGGAGAATACTTTCAATGTGTGGCAGAGTCTTGGAATTAAGTATTATGATTTTCCTATTTTTATTTGCATATTATATGGTTAAATATTTCTAATACTTTCAAACACTATGAGTACTTTTTATGGAACAATCTTCAAGATATATTTTAAAGTGGAAAAGTGAGGTGCAAAACAGCTTTCATTAAAAAAAAAGAAAAGAGAACTATACATAATTTAAATGGTTGCATAGACTATTTCAGGAATTTTCAAGATTGGTTATGTCAGATGAAGGGAAATTAGGGGCCGGGGGCAGGGATGCAAGTAAGGATTTTCACTCTCTCATCCTATTTTCTTTTGTATCTTGAACCATGTTAAGAAAATAAATGTATTAAAATCACATGCAGCCATAAAACAAAACAAATATTGCATGATTCCACTTGTATGAGGTAGCTGGAATAGTCACAGTCACAGAGACAGAAAGTAGAAGGTCGGGTGCGGTGGCTCACACCTGTAATCCCAGCATTTTGGGAGGCCGAGGCAGGTGGATCACGAGGTCAGGAGTTCAAGACCAGCCTGGCCAAGATGGTGAAACCCCATCTCTACTAAAACTACAAAAATTAGCCAGGCAGATGCCTATAATCCCAGCTACTCTGGAGGCTGAGGCAGGAGAATTGCTTGAACCCAAAGGACAGAGGTTGCGCCACTGCATTCCAGCCTGGGCAGCAGAGTGAGACTCTGTCTCAAAAAAAAGAAAAAAGAAAGTAGAATGGCAGTTGCCTGGGGTTGAGGGGAGGAGAAATGGGAGGTTGTTTAATGAGCACAAATGATCAGTTTTACAAGATGAAGTGTTATCTATTCTAAAATAATTAAAATAGTCTGGGCACAGTGACTCACGCCTCTGAGCTGGGCAGGGTGGCTCACACCAGCACTTTGGGAGGCCAAGGTGGGCAGATCACCTGAGGTTAGGAGTTCAAGACCAGCCTGGCCAACATATGTTGAAACCCCATGTCTACTAAAAAAACAAAAACTAGCCAGGCGTGGTGGCAGTTGCCTGTAATCCCAGATAATTGGGAAGTTGAGGCAGGAGAATCGCTCGAACCCAGGAGGCAGAGGTTGCAGAGAGCCGAGATCACACTACTGCATTCCAGCCTGGACAACAGAGCAAGCCTCTGTCTCAAAATAATAATAGTAATAGTAATCATAATTGAAATAAAAACATAAAACTATCAGTACTCATGGTCATAGCTCTGGAAAATTCCTTTCAAGTGTCTCCCATAGGATATCCTCAGTCCTTCAAAAAATATTTAAGTGAGCACATATGATGTTGCCAGCTGTTAAGTACAGTTAAAATTGAAGCTAAGTTTTATTATTTATGATAGAATAAGATCAAGCTATTTTAGAAGGCCAGGCACAGTGGCTGATGCCTGTAATCCTAACACTTTGGGAGGCCAAGGTGGGAGGATCACTTGAGCCCAGAAGCTCAAGACCAGCCTGAGCAACAGAGAGAGACCCTGCCTCTATGGAAAATAAAAACATTAGCCAGGTGTAGTAGTGCATGCCTATAGTCCCAGCTACTTGGGAGGCTGAGGTAGGAGGATCACTTGAGCCCAGGAGCTCAAGACTGCAGTGAGCTACAATCATGCCACTGTACTCCAGCGTGGGTGACACAGCAACACCCTATCTTTAGAAACAAGATACTGTAGACGAAAGAAGAAGTAAAAGCTTGCCTGTGAAAAGACCCTTGGCAGTGAGTGAGTGTGCTGTGTAGCGAGAAAACCAAGAGCTTTAGATTCACAGCCATAGATTCGTGTCCCAGCTCTGCTATATACTGATCATTTTACCTCAAGCAATTGAATTACTTTCCTTGAGTCTCAATATCCTCATATATAAAATGTGGGGGGTTTATGGGTGTGATGGTTAATTTTATGTGTCAGGTTCGTTAGGCCACAGTACTCAGATACTTGATCAAATATTATTGAGATATTTCTGGGCAGATTTTTAGATGAGATTAATGTTTGAATCAGTAGACTTGGAGTAAAGTAGATTACCGTCTATAATGTGGATAGGCGTGATCCAATCAGTTGAAAGCCTTAATAAGAAAAGACTGACCTCCCAGAGGAAATGAGAATTCTACCAGCAGACCACCTTTGGGTTCAAATTGCAATCCTTCCCTTGGTTTGCAGCCTGCTAAACGACCCTGCAGACTTTGGATTTACAAAGCCCTAAATTAAATCAATCTCTGTCTCTCTCTCTCTCTCTCTCTCTCTCTCTCTCTCTCTCTCTCTCTCTCTCTCTCTCCCCTTGTCTCTTTCTTTTTCTTCTCTCCCCCTTCCTTGTTCTCTCTCTCTCTCTTGCTCTTTCTCCTTCTCACACATTGTCAGGGAGGAAATGCATTCTCTACCTTCCTACATTCAGTTATTGGAGACCTACAAATTATTATTATTATATTTTAAACAGAGTCTTGCTCTGCTGTCCAGGCTGGAGTACAATAACACAATCTTGGCTCACTGCAACCTCCACCTCCTGGGTTCAAGGGATTCTTCTGCCTTGGCCTCCCAAGTAGCTGGGATTACAGGTGCCCACCACCACGCCCAAATGACTTTTGTATTTTTAGTACAGATGGGGTTTCACCATGTTGCCCAGGCTGGTTTTAAACTCCTGACCTCAGGTGATCCACCCACCTCGGCCTCCCAGAGTGATGGGATTACAGGGGTGAGCCACTGTGCCCAGCGGGAGATCTACAAATTAAACTGACAAAAGATAGATTAGTGGAGAAAAAGACAGGTTTGTAATTCACTTATGTAGGTGGGGGTTCAAAAAAATGTGACTACTAGACAGAATTTGGGGAAAATATATCATCTTAACAGAGGAAAGGGAGGAGGAAAAAGACTCTTAGGGAAAACAAATAATTTCTTGGGGAGAGTGGGGAGAGAAAGGATGCTTAGAGAAAACAAATGACTTTTAGGGAAGATAAATGGATTCTTAGGGAGTAGATGGGAGGGATAATGGTTGTGTGACATGTCTGTTTAGGTTCGGTGCTGACTTTCTCTGTCTCCAGTGATGAGTCCATCTTCCCTGTTTTTGAACCTCTCAGGGAGGAGATTTATAACAGTTGAGTTCTTTTGGAGCTCTTCTTTGAGATAGATGGGGGAAGTTCAGAACATACATCTGTTGATTTTCAAATCACTTCGGCTCAAAATAGTTTTTATGTCATAGTGGCGCATTTCAGACCCTTCAACATCCTGTGGGTTCTGTTTCTCCACACAACCCTAACTAATACAGTGGGGGTATTTTGAGGTTTAGATAGACTGTATATAAAAGGAGATATAACGTGTGTCAGGAGTCAGTCAGTAAATGACAGCAATATTGTTCATTTTTCTAACGGATTTATCGGATACTATGTTGACTCCACTATGAATTTGACTGCCTTAAATTACTTGGATTAGCTTGAATATCTTAAATTACTTGGATTAAATTGTCAACATCTAAAAAATCTATATGAATACAAATCTATAGCTATATAGTAGTATGACTGATTTTGAACATACCACCAGACCTAGGCAGCCAAATTACTCTCTTTTTTAGGTAGTTGCCACTGGAGGCTTTATTTATTTATGGATGTATTTAAAGAGATGGGGTCTTGCCATGTTGCCAAGGCTCAAGGGATCCTCCCACCTAAGTCTCCTGAGTAACTGGGACTATGGGCAGGGGCCACCACACCCAGCACATTGAAGGCATTAGAAGAAGCCTGCCTTAGCTCACGATGTTCCGGTATGGAGGCATGCTTTTACTCTTTCACTCAATTTTTTTTAAAAGAGCCAAATGTCATTTGTAATAACTTTCAATGCATGACAGATAACCAAATTAATTATTTGAAATTAGAGCTCTACATTACCCAGAAGTAAAATATTAAACTGGTTTTCCTGTGCACATTCTAACATTGTATTGGTCAGGTCAAAACAAACTATGTTATGATAACAAGCAAATCCCAAAGTCTCAGCAGCTTAGCATTTAAAAAACTACTTCTCATTCATGCAAAGTCCATTATGAGGCTAGTGGCTCTCCAGGGCCTCTCTCTTCCAAGCAGAGATCCCTGGATCTCTCTTCAGGGATCCAGGCTGCTTCATTGATGGCTACATTGGAGCTTGGGGCTATCAGTTGCTGTGGCAGGAAAAAGAGACTAGAGAACTTACGGAGCATTTTACTGCCTCAGCCGGGAAGAAGTGACACACTTTACATATCCCTTCACACTCACTTCTTTTTTTTTTTTTGAGATGGAGTTTTGCTTTTGTCACCCAGGCTGGAGTGCAGTGGCATGATCTTGGCTCACTGCAACCTCTGCCTCCCAGGTTCAAGCGATTCTCCTGCCTCAGACAGGCATATGCCACCATACCTGGCTGATTTTTATGGGTTTTTTTTGTGTTTTTGTTTTGTTTTGTTTTTTAAGAGAGTCTTGCTCTGTCACCAGGCTGGAGTGCAGTGGCATGATCTCAGCTCACTGCAGTCTCTACCTCCCAGGTTGAAGTAATTCTCCTGCCTCAGCCTCCTGAATGGCTGAGACTACAGGTGCGTGCCACCACACCCAGCTAATTTTTGTATATTTAGTAGAGACAGGGTTTCACCATGTTGGCCAGGCTGGTCTCGAACTCATGACCTCAGGTGATCCTCCTGCTTCGGCTTCCCCAAGTGCTGGGATTACAGGCGTGAGCCCACCATACCCAGCCCCTTCACACACACTTCTGTTGACCAGAACTAGTCCTCAGGTCCTGCCTACGGGTAAGGGGGCTGACTAGTGTTGTTTTCTGCATGCCCAGGAGGAGAGAGAATCAAATCAGATATGATGACCACTGACAATCACTAGCAATCTCTACCCTCATGGTCTTCAAGTTCAGTGAGTATCCATCCAAGGGTATAGTAGCAGTGGCTGAGTTAGGAGGAAAGTCTCTTTAGATGACTTCCCTGAAGGAA